GTCAAGGCTGTTTTTCTCTGCTGCCATGCAAAAAGGGTAGTGAAATCCAGCATGGTTATGACATCATGGCTTTAGAAGGGATCCTGAAGTGACTGACTTAGATTGGACAGTCACTGTCCACATGCACCATTTAGATTGGTGCATGATGTGAATAGAAAGTGTGCCAAGAGGGCTGGAAAAAAATCAGTACCTCCAAAACGCATGTGGTACACCAGAAGGGTTAGAAAGATGTCAGTGTGAATCTTATGAAAAATAATCTTTCTTAAACAGAAAAATATGATTTTTTTTTTGTTTGGTTGGTTGTTTTTTCCCCCTCAAGGAAGTAGACACTGTAATTGGTTCTGTTAAAAAGCTCATTAGTGTGCATTCTGGATGTCTTCTCTGAAAAACTCTCAAGGAAATCATCCATTCAGCTATGTCACAGTGAAGGAAGAAAAGCTTGAATGCTGTGTAATTCAATAATTAGAACATTTCACATAGTTTTCTGTAACAGTTGCAACCAGGTGCAGTGTTTAGAATCTGTCTCATAAAACCTGGACACCTTCAAGCAGAATGGAAAAGTTGGACAAAAAAGTGCATTTAAATGCTTTCGTCTTACTTTTTGTGATCGTTTATAGACACACAGTGGATTTCTGTGATTAATGTTGGTAAATAAGATGTTATAGTTCTGTAAGTACATTAGAGCAGCTGATTTCCTTGCACAAAGATACAAACAATGCATTCAATCTGTTGAAAGGCCACAGGAGCTCAGGTGTGTCCACAAAAATGTGTGTCTTTAGGAATTATGGATGAAGTTTGATTCTTCCTGTTGTCAGTTTGTAAGTGGCTTACATTATAATGCTAAAAAATCAAAATCAGTGCCCAGGTCTAATGTTTAAACAACATGAGATGGTAGCTAAATGAACTCTCTAAGTTAAACCACTCTTAGATGCGTTATTTGTATCCCATATTTGTCCATTGCAGTAAACTTTACCTGGAGCTGTAGCAAGATTGGGGTGAAAGGGGCACCATCTTAATGCATTACTCATTTAATAAAATGTGAGTGAGGAATCAGAAAAGTAGTCTCTTCCTGTTCACCTGGTTAGTATGTCACAACAGGCTTACCCTCTCCCTGTCAGGAGTGAGTACAGCCCTTTTTAAAGGAGAACATTTCATACCCAGGATGAGGGGAGCAGCTGCCAGACTGTGAGAACCAGAGAGGGGCTTTGTTTGTTCTCAGGGGTTTGCTTGTGCTCTGCTTCTGTCCAATATGACTTGAAAGAGGAGAGCTGGGAAGCCTAGTTTCATGTGGATGAGAAGAGTCTACTTTTTCTCTCTGGCTAGCCGCAAATCATCTAAAAATCAGGTTGTGGATGTTTGAGATTAGCTGTGTGTGCAAGAGAGAGACGAGGAGTGCCAGGTAGGGCACGTCTATCAAGTGGGAGGGAGGAGCACATTTATATTCTACATTGGACTGGTCCATATGCTAAATCATTGTCTCGTAGCTCTGGACATTAAGCACTTGTGTAATAAACAGGTGGACTGCATAAGCGTCACACAGCTCATCACACAGGCTTTCCAGCAGAAAAAGCACAATCTTAAGCTGAATGGAGGGCAGCTCATATTTTTATGTGGTTGTGTATTTCTGACTGCATTTCCTTCTCGCCCAGTTTGGTAGCTCTTCTTGTGGGAAAGTGGCATTACTTCTTTTCTCTTGGTAGTCTGTCCTAATGCTATGCAGTCTGTCCTTGAAGAGACACTACTTGCCACAGAGGCTTCAGCCTTAAGCTAAGAAATGGAGTTCTAGGTTTTTTGTACTGCTAAATCAATCAAAGTTTATTTTCTTTCACTTAATTTGGGGTTTTAAGATGGAGGCCGTACAAATAAATACTTTGAGACTGTTGGGAAGATCAGTGTCCTGGAAAGGAACACATTACTGCTAGGAATTTCTACCTGCAGTTACAAAATTTAGAAAAAATAAACTTCTATTATGAAATTAAAACTCTTGTTCAAGATCTGTTTTTGGTTGAATTTCTAAGTCTACAGTACTCAGAAGTGTACATTGCATTATGGATAAAACTGACTTTTTTTAGTTGGGTTTATTTGTTAAGATGTTCTACAGTGAAAGATCGATGTGAGGTTGTCATGATTTAACCCCAGCCAGCAAATAAGCCCCACGCAGCTGCTTGCTCGCTCCCCTGCCCTGGTGGGACAGGGGAGAGAATCGGGAAAGTAAAAGTGAGAAAAATTTGTGAGTTGAGATAAAGACAGTTTAACATGCAAAGCAGAAGCCGCGCACACATGCAAAGCAAGGAATTCATTCACCACTTCCCATGGGCAGGCAGGTGTTCAGCCATGTCCAGGAAAGCAGGGCTCCATCATGTGTAACAGTTACGTGGGAAGACAAACACCATCATTCTGAATGTCCCGCCCTTCCTCTCCCAGCTTTACATGCTAAGCATGATGTCATATGGTATGGAATATCCCTTTGGTCAGTTGGGGTCAGCTGTCCCAGCTGTGTCCCCTCCCAAGTTCTTGTGCCCCCCCAGCATGCTCACTGGTGGGGTGGTGTGAGAAGCAGAAAAGGCCTTGACTCTTGTGTAAGCAATAATGAAAACATCTCTGTATTATCAAGGCTGTTTCCGGCACAAATCTAAACCATAGCCCCATACTAGCTACTATGAAGAAAATTAACTCTATCCCAGCCAAAACCAGCACAGAAGTATACAATTCTAAGGAAGTGTGACTGTAAATAAATATTTGTTTTGTTTTTTTGATGCAGCTTCCTGTTTTCTGCAGTGATAGTGCATGGCGGCTTATCCTAACTCTGTTCTGAAGTAAGGTGGGAAATCTGTCCAATAATCCAGCATCAGTAAGACAGAAAAGGTAATGATAAATATATGTTTTTGGAAAGGAGGTAAAAGAAAACCTGTGGATGGATGCTGTTTTGTTTTAATGCTTTAAATTAAAACAAACAAACAACAACTGCAAAACTCTATGCTTTTCAGCCGACTTAGTTGATGTGCCTGCAGTCAGGACTCCTATGTTGCAAAACACAAATAATGCATTAGCAAGCATTAACAATATTGTAAACTTCACTGTTTAGTCACAGTGTCACAGCAACCTGGCTGTGTTAATTGCAAGTCCCTTTTCTCTGCAATTAGACTGTATCCACCTACCTCCTGTCATGTCTGATTAGGAGAATGAGTTTTGTTCAGTAGTTGCTTGTCTCTTTTTTTGGATGTCATGGGGCTAAACAAATAGATTTGCATGAAATGTTTGCTTTATATTAACTACCAAAAAAATCTCAGAAATTGAATTACAATCATCATACTACATCTTTTTAATGCAAAACATTGCCGTTGAATCAGGAGAGTTAAATATGTATAGGTGCATCAATGTATGATGTATTAAAGGCTTTAGCTGAGTGTCTTGTTTGTCTGGTAAGAGAGAAATATTTTTTCAATGCAGTACTTTAAAAATAGACTGAGCAAAATAAAATTCAGTTTTCTCATAAAGCACTGTGTTATAATATCCTTAAAGGTAAGGGAGAAGTACCTGCAAATCTCTACCAAGAATTCTTTTTGCACGAGAGAATCAGCAGCATGCTTGCCTGCACGTGGCTTTGGAAATGTCAATTTTGATTTGTAGGGCTGCCTACTTTTAAGATCTCCAGTCTTTGTACTTCAGATGTTAAGATAACTGCTTCTTTAATTGCTCCTCATTCCAGATCCTGTCCAAAACAGTGGAGAAAGAGCAGGATGTTTGACTAGCTATCTAGACCTTTTTTGTTCGGTGTTTTGTTTTTTTTTTTTCCCCCCCTTCCTCTGCTTAGTAACTTCTCTGTAGTTTCTGTTTTTCTTTTAAACATAAGGCCTTTGTGGGGTTTTTTTTTTGAGAGATGCTGCATGCAAGGCAATAATTTTTCAATTGTCTTATATAAAATGTTAAAGATATAACTCTGAAGTATATGCTGTGTGCTGCTTGGATACAAGATGGCTTTGTTGCACTTCCACCTCTCTTAAAGCACTGAAAGTAACCAACTGTTCTGACCATGTACACTGCACAAAAAATTTGTGGCTCTGAGTCTAATGAGTAGCTAATGTGTAGTCCATTGAGCAGCTTTTAAAAATCTAAAATCTTCGTTAAAACATCTTAGTCTAAATTTCAAAAAAAGGAAAAAAATGTATACTTCCTTTCTGGAGTGGAACTCTCAGTGTGTTCTGATCATGCGTATAATAAAATCAATGTTTAGCTCTTCATTTATTTGTTCATGAAATAATGCATGATTCAATTTGATCCTCTTAAAGACACCTAACCATCTGTAATCTTTGAAATAAGGTACTTTGTTCTCGCAGTCTTTTCTTAAATTAAAAAAAATAAAAATAATAAAGTGATAATGTAACCAGTATGATGTTGTAAGGCTGACAACTTTTGCAGCAATTTCACTTGCCCTGAAAGAGATTTATACATGTATCTCAAAAACAAATCCTAGGCAATATTAGTTCCTTCATAGCTTTTTTCCATGACAGTTTACAGCTGATATCTTGCAAAAAAAAAACCCAACAAACCCAAACAAAAAAACAACCCACCCAAGTTTGAAATTTTGAAGTGTCACACATGTTTAAAAGCTGTCTGACTTTTAAAAAAAATATATTTACTTTTAAATTCTGAGCACTGGGAACTGCGATAACTGTTAATTTGAAGTGTTGGATCTTACAGAGTTGTTCTTTGCCTGTGAACTCAGTTAACGTATCAGGCGCTCTACTGATTGAGAAATTAGTGCGTCATAGAATGCATCCGAAAGGGGTTCTCCGGAGAGCTTCCTAACAGTAATGCTTTCCAAAGATGGAAAGCTTCAGAACTGTCATCAGATGCATTTAAATAATTAACGGTTTAGTTTTCTAAAATATTTTGCTGTTAACAGGTTGGCAGGCGACAAGGAATCCACCATGAATGGGCAGCTGGACTTAAGTGGCAAGCTGATCATCAAAGCTCAGCTTGGAGAGGATATTAGGAGAATTCCTATTCATAATGAAGATATCACCTATGATGAATTGGTGCTAATGATGCAAAGAGTGTTTAGAGGAAAACTTCTCAGCAATGATGAAGTCACAATAAAATATAAAGATGAAGGTAAGGTTTAATTGCTACTGTTGAGGTTTAATTACTGCTGTTGCTCTGATATGATTTATCTGTGAACAGAAACTCTGAAATACACCTCTTCAAAATTCTTCGAGTTCATTGGCAAATGCAAGTGATTTCTTGTGAAATCCTTTGAATCAGACAGTAGAAGCTGTATCTCTTGTGCTCATGCTGTCTTAACATAGTATTTCAGCTGTCTGATTTTTTGCTGTTGCAGGACGCTGATGCTATTGCAGGTTTCTCTTCTGTCTTCTCATTTAACCATTTTTTGTGTTTTCAGTGATAAAATGGGTTTGAAGGTGAGGAGTGAATAAACATGTATAACTTAACACAAGCTCTTATAAAACTTTGAAAACTTCATTTATCTAGTAGTAATTCTTGATTATGTTTTCCTCCATCAGTAAAGATTAGAAGAAACTTAATTTAAGCTGAAATAGTTATTAAAAGTAATCTTTCTCCAGTGTGACAGTTCGAATCTGTTGGACTTTGGTTGTTTCAAAGAAAATCTCGATCGTTTGTGCTAAACAAATGCAACTGTAAGAAAGAAGGGCTTCCGCAGAATGAAAGGGGCCTTGTTTGAGTTGTGGAGAAAGAGAGTTGTGGTTTGGAGGGGTTTTCCTCTTTGAATGTCAGTGTGGGGCATGGATAAGTTATTTAATTTGGGACAGAAGGGTGGTATTCATAAAATGAAACTCAGAATGAAGTGATAAAATCCAGAGTCTCTTAGATCAAAGACTGTGTGATAATTATGCTGGTGTGCAGTAAAAGAGCTACATTACTGAAGCCTTCAGGTTCGTTTTTCTCAATAGTGCTAGCTGTCTGTGGTACCTAAAATGTCAAGTAACTTTTGTTCATATATCTAGGCAATAAAATTTCACTTTGAATGACCCTGAGACAGTTTTTTCCGGTTCATGAAGCTTTTGAGACACACTGCTCATCAAAATTGATATGCAGTGAAGGGCTAATATTTTGGGTCTTGATCTCTAGTGGGAGAGCGCTTAGTGGATTTGTGGCGGTTTTGATTTTCCTCTTATCACATGATCTATTTCTTTTTATCTTTCTGGAATGAGAAAGGTGAAAAGAAATTGATGGATGCTTTTTCACTAGGTTAAAGCTTCTAGTCCCTTTTTTTGCATTCTTACCTGTTCTTTAAGTATAGTTCTCTGTTTTTCTGTATGCTTCTATCTCTTTTTTTTTTTTTTTAAGAAGATAATGGTGTGTGGTGGAGACTGTAATTATGGTTTCATTCCTTGATTGCCTTTCACAGCCTAGACACCTCCGTTTAATTTTAGCTTGCTTAGTGGAGTAGTAGTACATTCTGAGACAGTCACGTGTATACGTTATCCTAGCTGATCATAACTACCAAGAACATTTGAACATTGTTGATATCAGAGGAAGTTGCAAGTGATGAGGGAAAAAGTTACCAAAACTAGGCTTCATTTTGATTGTCGTATGAGCCCATGGTATTCTTGACTTTATTTCTACTAAGCTAAGATTCTTCTTTAAATCTATTTCGGTCATTAGAAGCATTGGAATATATACATTCTAGCTATTTGTGTTTTGTTATTTATCCCTCCACACCTGGAGGAACGCTTGTCCTCATCTGTTATGAGGAGATTTCTTAAGTTGGTCTAAAGATTCCCACTATTTCTACAACCTCGATCTGGGTACTCTCAGAATTCGTGTGTACGCTCTGAGCATTCAGAAGAATCCTTCATCTGCTTCTGGCTTTGTTTCTTGTTGCTGTAACATGTGAAGTTAGTGATCTTCAGGCCTGGATATAGGATTTTTGACGTAAAATTTCTGCTAAATACTGTGGCTTTGTATCTTCATCAAACTGTCATGATCCTTGAATCTAACACATTTTGGTTTTTTTCAAACTTATATGCTTACGTGGAGGGGTTAGGAAACTTTCAATCCCAACCCTTTCATCTCTGGATTTGTGGACTAAGGTAGTCAGAAGTATATTCCTAAGTTATATTTAGGTTATGTGATGCTTTTAATAATTATCATGGAAAAGAAGTTTCAATTTGATTACTGCCTTGCGAGTTAGGTTTTATATTCAAGCTGGGCATCTTGCAAACTTGAGAACTAAGGAAATTTCTCTATTAGGTGTGAAATAATTTTCATGTCCTGCTTAAGGTTCTTGAATATGTAGTAAAACCCAATGTCTACAAAAAAACCCAAACAACCCAAACAGACCAGTGAAGACTTCCCGCAGTGAATTGATACGAATCAAAAAGTAGAATTGCATCTTAAGCACACAGTGTTACTGAGTTACATATGCTAAAGTCCCTATGGAGCCAATAATAGAAACTTTGCTGCTTTTTTTTTTTAAAGATAGGCTTGAATTTAAAACTAGAGTGCCTAATGTGAGGTTGGCCTTTTTCGTTCTTGTTCTTCATTACCTTGCAGTAGAAGTTGTGTCTTTGTGTCAGAGCCAATAATGCGTTATTAACTCGTATTGCATGTAATCAAGGTAGTGTGCCAGTCAGTAATGTTTTTATCTTCGGTAAATTTACCAAAGTGAAGGAAAACTACGTTTTGGTGGTGGTGTGGTTTTATTATTTTTTTTTTCAAAATGGAATAGAAAAAGAAAAAGATAAATATAAGGGTAGATAAAGCTTGTAGATAAGGAAGCATAGCTGGCAGGGTCAAGGATAATAAGGCAGATTCCTAGTGTTGTAAACATAAAAAATTTCTTCTAATTACTAATGTCCTAAAAATTGGAATGCATCATGATGATGCAGAATTAATGCTAAAATGCTTTCCAGTCCATTGGTAAGTTAAGGAAGTCACTAGCTTATACTAAAGAAGAATAAAATAATTGACGTAGGAGGGAATATTTAGGGTACATGGGAAATAGTGAGTGAAAGCTTGTCCCTTGTGAAAATAAGGTAAGTTCTTGAAATAAGAAGATTAGTAGAGAAAATAAAGGAAAGTCTGTTTTACTTTTCAATAGAAAATAATTAACACTGCATATTCCTGTCTATATCATGATAACAGAAATTAAGCTTCATTGACATTCCTTAAAATGAAAAGTTTGTTTGATAAATCTAATATACTTAAATTGTCAGACTTGCATGGCTTGACATACACATCTACTGTATGAATCCTAGCATATGCTCTACTTGGGTAATAGCTTGAAGGCTGTCAACAGGAATCATAGAACTGACTTTATGCATCTAACAAGATTCTGTATTTGGTGCTTTTCAGCCTTTTTTTCTGCTAGCAATTTAAAATAGAAACTTTAATCATTATTCTTAATGCCTTCAACATAAATGTTAAAATAGGTAAGGGAGAATAAGATAGAATGATCTGGATTCTTTTGGGTGACGTTAATCCGTGTAAACCACATGTATTGATACACATAAACTGTTGAGGACATGCATCTTTGTTCAGGCAGTGAATCCGAGTATTGACTGGTATGACACAAATGCATCATAAGATGGTCTGCCAATGTTGTGTATTGGCAAGAGAAGTAATTATCATGGAATAGAAGGGCTTTGTGTTAAGACACCAGTGGATTTTGGTGTCAGCATTTAGGAAAGGATACCGAAAAGCTGGAGGAAGTGTTTGAGTTAGAGGGACACTCCACCCCCCCCACCCCCCCACCCCCACTTTACTGCCAAAGAGAAAGGACTGTTCAATTTTATGAAAGTTACTTGTTTGGGGTCTGATTGTATATGTCTTGTTATGGATCATAGTGGCAAACAGAGGCACTATTATCTTCCCCTTCCTGGCACTGGTGAGGCCTCAGTTTTGCTGCGTGCACCCCAGACTAAAAAGACTTGGAGAAACTGAAGAGGGTCCAGCAGGACACAGTGAGTACAGTGAGGGGCCTAGGGCAGGTTTCTGCATCTGTCCACAGAGCCTCCTTGTACAGTGTTTTAGGTAGGAACGTTAGTAGCCTGGAGTTGCCTTTGTTCAAAGCTGTGCGTCATTTGTCTAATGCCGTTGTTTCTGAAGGTGAAGCTGCACTAGGTAGTGTCTCATCTGGGTTCCCAGTTCACCAAGCCGTTCTGGAAGGAAGGGTTCCTGCTATCCCTTCTCTTTCCTTCTGCCAGTACGCGTTTTCCCGACAACGCGTTCCCACTCTAATTGCACTGCCTAATTTGTGTTCATTTAATCTATTAATAATCTATTGAATATATAAAAACAGCAGAAAATGTGTCCTGTCAAAGCAAATAATCTTGTTTTATCTGTGATCTTGTTGAGTAAGCAAAGATGTGAATGTGGATTGTCTTCACTAGGGTTAAAGATTGTGAGATACCAGACTTAATGGGAACTTGGTATCTCTTTTAGGTATTAATAGGATTAAAGGTGTTCTGTGTGTTATGCATAGCCCTTTGTATCTTAAGAATAAAGGATCCCATTCAGTTCTAATATAGTTTCTGTTTCTGATGGCAATGTGCAAATTCATTAGGATGTATTGGGATGGGAGTTCCTCTGAAATATGACACACAAAAATAAATGGCTAAGAGTTGAGACTTCAAGTCAGATTCCTGGTTTGAGAGAAAAGTTTTCTTCTGACAACTTTGACGTCTTCATGTCTTCATTCCTATTTGCGTGTTAAGGCTGACAGATAATTTTACTATTCACTTTTATTTACACAGGAACTTTATTATCATTCCCTTGTTGAAAATCAGTCTTGCACCTCAGTGTTCTGAGTATAACGTGCAAAAGTGTTCTAATTGCTTAACATTTTCCCTTGTTAGTGTATGTGTTTGGTTTGGTTTTGTTTTTGTTTAAATTGAATTGGGATTCGCTTGTGCCATCTATCTTGATTCTCCTGTCTGTTCAGGAGCAGCACAGTTTTGGAGCCTCTTAGAATAGACTTATAAATTTAACTGGCATTATCAATCTTTCCGGTGTTTGGACTCGGTGAACTCTTCCCTCTGATGTTTCATCCTGTATGTAAACATAAAAGAATGATGAGCTGTATGGAACTTGCAAAGGGCTAATGTCAGAAGGCTCCCTTTTGGAGCCAGTCATGGTTCTGTCTGCCTTCTGTACATAATTTCCATGCATACTGACTCTCACACTAAAATAATTAAAATTTTTTTGCTAATAACTTCAGAATCAAATAGGGAAAGTTATTTTTGAGTAATGAAGTAACACTTTTGCCCTAGCTTGAAGTTCAGTAGTTAATAGGCTTTGTTTTTAATGTAACTTTTTCATGTTCTTTTCAGATGGAGATCTGATAACAATTTTTGATAGCTCAGATCTTTCCTTTGCAATTCAATGCAGTAGGATACTGAAGCTGACATTGTTTGGTAAGTATAGAAGATTGTTTTGGGTTTGGTTTTTTTTATAATGTTCATTAAAGTCCAGGCAGTGGGCTTCACTGAAAGGTACTACAAACTTTTCAGTTTGTCACCTCAGAAGAATGAAATCAGTAAGTCAAAAATACTGGATTAATACATGGTATCTGTCTTCTCTATTGATGTTTCATGTGGCATCTGAACTTACGGAAACCGAAACTATTTCTTTTTTGTAAGATTGCTTAAAGTATTTGGCATACCTATATATGTAATCAATGTTGGTTTTTTTTTTAATGTCATTTCCCATGTGACCTTCCACTTGCTAGCCTTTGTGGGGTTTTCTTCACAGGTGCGTGAGAAATTTAAAATGATTATTATCTTGCAGTGTTACTAGTACACTGCTAAAAACTAACACTAATTGCTTATAATTGAATAGATTTTAACACTTATCCTTTGGCCTTTGTATAAAATAGTTCTTTATTTTCAAGCTACTATTGGTAAATTAGCACATAGTTCCAAGGAACAGTAAGCAGCCTTTAACCTGAACACTGACCTTATTCATGAATTCCAGCAGTGTTGTGTATGCTGTATTAGTTCTAAAGGCACTTTCTAAAGGGACAGCTTTCCATGACCATGTGTGATATTTGTGGTGTTCAGGGTATATTCATGGAAACCAATAAACTTGCTGCAGACTTTACTGCAGTTCTGGTACTGTGGATTATGCTGAACAGGAACAGTAAGCTCTAGAATGAGTTCAGTCTGTGTTGGCTAAACTTTGTCACTTTAAACTCCACAGATGATGATGATGCTACAAGCAAGTCAAAGTTGGGATTTTTTTTTTTCTGAAACTTTAAACTGGATGTCAAAATGTTACTGCAGTCTTAAATGTATCTAATTGCTGTTTTGCAGTGAATGGACAACCAAGACCCCTAGAATCTAATCAGGTGAAATACCTGCGTCGAGAGCTGATAGAACTTCGCAATAAAGTCAATCGTTTACTGGACTGTTTAGAACCACCAGCTGAACCAGGGCTTTCCACTAATCTGCCTGAAAGTGGTAGGCAGCCTGGCAAAGAATTGTTTGATTTACAGAGTTGCGTGCTGTTTAACAAAGTAAAAAGTGAAGGCTTGAATACTGGTTGTGATTATTCTTAATTGTTGCTTGATGGTTCAGAACTTAATTTTTAGTGCTTCAGTTATTTCAGAGGCAGTATTTTTATTCAAATTATCTGGAATAAAGCACTTGGTTAACTTAGGAATAAAACTTCAAAGTCTGAGGTTTTGTTGCAATGTATGAAAATGCTGTAACTAACACTTGTGAGTCATGACAACATTTTGAAAGGGCTTTGAGCTGAATTAATAGTTGTTTGTTGCTGAAGAGTTCTTGCTCCCAGCTGAGTAGTCCCACTGCTTACTTTGGGCTAGCTCTGGTGCTTATCTTGTCATGTTGCTAAGCAAGTTTGATTCACTGAAACAGTAAAAAGCAAATTCAGGAAAAATTATATCCACTTTTTTTGCCAGGTTAGGAAATTGAATCCACACATTTTGAGCTCAGGCCAGCATCAGAGCTGTCTCAGGGTAAGCAGCACAAGGGTGCAGGCAGGGGTGGGAAAGGATTATCGGGGGAGGGCAAAATGGGGAAGGAAGTCTTTTTCTCCCAGTTTTGAGGCATTGATCTCCTAGCTTAGGGCTGTTGTACTGTAAAAACAATACATCTGTGTGCTTAACTACAGATTTGGGGTAATCTGGACACAGAAAATCATAATGCAAAGTCATGGAGTACAGTGTTCTGAGTGAAAAGGTGAACCAAGAACTCCACGCCTTTCTTTTGGGAAACGCTGCTTTTGTATTTTACACTTCAGAGTTTTATTGGTTTGGTTGTTTAAAAAATTCTCAGCCCCTGTTCCTACAATGTAAGTGATTACTAATTTCAGTGGAATACCATGGATTCTGGTTATAAACCATTTGGAAGGAGGTTAGGGTGATGATCTTAGAGTGTAAACAAATTTAGCCCGTCTAAACCCTATCTGTGCCTGTTTGTTTTTAAGAGAAAATGTAGCACTCTGCTAGGTAAGGGGTTTCTGAGTGATTCAGTGTTACTTGTATAATTGCAAAGACATGATTTTCACCTGTCAGCTGAGGAAGAATTCAATGAGAAGGGGATAGAACAAAACAAAACCTGCAGTTGATAAAATACTATAATAAACTGGAACCTATGCTGTAAGTTTTCTTAATTTTGAATTCTCTGTAGGCAAGTCATACCAGAACAATTTGAAGCAGGAGCCTTTTACCTTTGAATTTAAAGCAAAGTGATACATGATACTGATACTCCACAGTGTCAGTGCATCTTTAAGTAGCAATGAAACCTAAGCTTTGTGATTCATCACAGTTTCAGATACATCAGTGATTCATCACTGTTGCCCTGCCATAAGCATTTCAACAGTTAAAACATTTAAAACAACCCACAATTATGCAATTTTGAAGATGCTGTAGTACAGTATATATGCATGATGGTGTTTCAGTTCTCAAGAATTAATAACTGGGCATTTTGTTTTCTAGATGCCGTAGATGGTAGGGAAGAAAAGCCTGCTGCTGCCGACTCTAATGTTAAGCCATCTACTCAAGTTATAGCAGCAAGCATGTCTGCATTTGATCCGTTAAAGAACCAGGATGAAATCAGCAAGAATGTCATGTCAGCGTTTGGCTTGACAGATGATCAGGTGTCAGGTAAGAGTAGGTCTTGCATAAAGGAAAACAAAACCTGTTCGTAATTGATGACTCAAATCTTGGTTTGTAACAAAGCATTTGTATTTTGGATGTATTAAGCTGTGTTCTGTATTTATTATTTCTTTCCAGAATTCTAAAACTTCATGTGTTAAGGTGTTGCAATTGTGTTTGCTAACTTTTGTATGCAAAATGTTGAAATGTTGCTGTTGGTTTTAGCATGGTGTTTTAGCTTGGAGTGGAAAGTGGCTTAATTTTTTTAATTTGAATTACTTAAAGCTATTGTGTAGAGTAACTTAATTAGTATCCACCAGTGATAGCGGAACCGTATCCACTGCTGTGCCTTAAGGTTTGATCTTGCAGTTCAGCTTGTGCTCCTGGCTTGTGCTTCTGCTGTTTGGGTCAGTCAGAATGTTTTGTACAACCTCACCTTTTCTCTGTTTCATTTCAAAAGTAAATAGTCACAGCTTTTTCACTGTTAACAGAAAGGTATAACCTACTTGTCTGAATTATATTTATTCTTGAAGAGCTGCATGACTGTTGGCCCCACCTAGTAGTAGAATGCTAAACTGAATGCAGTCAACTTGGGACAGGATAAATTAAGCTATAAAAGCAGGATAGAATGTAATAGGGTGTGGGATGCAGAATATAGAGCAGTGATCTTGCACACAATCTGCGTGGGTCTGGCAAGGTTTAATGTAACGTTGAAACCTGAAAACTAAACTGCTTTTAGGTAACGGGATTTGCTATGTACTCTCAACTTTAGAGCAAGTAAATTTTATGTGGTGTGTGAAGTAATGAATGATACAGATGGGCAAACTAATAGCAACTGGAGCTTGTTTCTACAGCATGGCTGCTTTGGCAAAAGTGTGGAGTGATAGGAATAGATCTGCACTGCGTGCAGTCCTGCGACTGTGCGGGATCCAACATTGTACCCACAGACACAGTGGCTGTCTTCAGATTGGGGTACTGGTCTGTGGATCAGGCCTCTTGAGTCATCTCTTCCTCCATTGCACGTTTTGGGTATTGTCACAGCACCGTTATTTCGCAAACCAGATAAAGGTTTGATGGTACTTGAAAACTTACAGTGGGCTACCTCTGAACAATGAAGTGATAGAGTAGAATATGCAGTACAGCTAGCATAAAATTAGAGCTAATTTTTGAAGGAGTGGTTTTGTCTTTTGGTACAAAGCCTTGGTGTCAGTTAATGCTTTGATCATAACATCAGTGATACTTCAGCGTTAATGTGTGTACATAATTCTTCTGATAGAGTGAACTGACTTGAACATGCTTTGAATGTACAAAGAACTTCAAGAGAGGACCATTTAAGCAGGATATAATAAAACCTATTTCTAAAGCTTTAATCTTGCAGTCATGTATATAAAGGGAAAACCAGAAGTAGGCAGATTTGATTCATTTTGCCCCTAATAAGGGTAACATGAAAACATAATTAAGAGCTTGTTGGATGCAGATTTATATTGTGTAAATATAACTTTCTTAAAATTGAAAGTGTATTTGCAGCAAATATAATATTGTGCTTAACGTTAAGCATGTATTTGAAAGTAGTGTGTCATAGGTAGCATTCATATAGCTAAGAACTGGAAAGATCCAAGTTTCAGCTCCCTTGTTTCTAACAAAGTATTTTGCATTCAATTGTAGTATATTATAGCTGTTCACGTGCATGTTTCAAAACTTCTCACTAAGGTAGAGAAAATCTGAATTTTCTGTTTCCACGCTTTCTGTGGGTGCTAGCTGGAATATTTTCAGAATCATTAAAGCAGACAATTGCTGTTAGACTGAAGCCTGCCATATTCTGCCCAGGAGTGTGAATTTAATACATTCCTTGGAGGTTTTCTGTTCACATGCTGTATGACTGTTGATAAAACACTTTGTTGCCTGGACCCATGTAGACCACAGTAAAACACTAGTGTATTTTCACGCAGCCTTTCACCTTTACTCCAGATGAGAAAGAATAGGTACGTAGGTGCATATTCTACCCAAATGTAGCAGATCTTCAGCATATGTGTGCAAGGTTAATGCTTCAAGGTGTGGAAAAACCACATTGTCATGCAGGGTTTTATCCCACAGGTGGGTCAGGTTTCTCGGAAGGATGAAATATGAGCGATCTAGAGACAGGTGTAAAATCCCCCCCAAAATACTTTCAAAGGAGAGTTTAGATGTGCAAATATATTTAGTTTTAGCCTGGATGTGATGCTCAGATAAAAATCTATGGAAAACTGGAAAAAAATGTTAAAAACTTTGCAAGGGAATAGTCTTGTCTTAGATTTTTTTTTTTTTAAAATTCAAATTCTCTGTTCATTTCATGTACTGTATTTTGGTTTTATTCCCCTAGGACCACCAAGTGCCCCCGCAGAAGAGCGATCAGGAACACCGGACAGCATCGCTTCCTCTTCTTCTGCAGCCCATCCCCCTGGTGTTCAGGCACAGCAGCCACCATACCCTGGAACACAGCCACAAACTGGACAGGTGGAAGGTAAATAGTAGACAAACATGCTGTTTAAGACGGGAAAGAAGTCTGAATCTGAGTAGTCAGTAGCTAAGATTTCCAATTAGCAGACCCAAAGTTGTTACCAAACTGCAAATTCATTTGTGCCACTCAGCAAAGGAAAACCTTTTTCATCACATGCAGTTCAATATAGAAACGGCAGGTGGAGCAGTAGCTTTATTTAAAAGGCTAAGTGATGTAACATGAGGAGGATTTTCATGGTACTGTTTGCTACTTGCATCTGTGCTCATTTTGCTGTAAGGCAGATTTGTATACACTACACTTTAAAGCTGTCTGAAAACCATAGTTCATTATCATATACCCTTTGTGTTGTGTCGAGCTTTCACTTAGCTAACAGTTTGTTGGCTTGTCTACTATGAATTAAAAATGTTGTTTATTCATTGTTTTTATCTGAAAAAACAGAGCCATTACTGCATTGCTTCTTCACTCTGTATGGCTCTGAGCTAGTCAGATGAAACGGTATAACTATCTTGTATTTATTGTAGTTTTCCCATGTAACCCTTGAGAGCCTCACTTGACTCTCCTTTAAAGCTTAAGGTCTTAAGTCTACTATTCAGATTCCTTTGTACTATGCCCTTTTATATGTTATTTGACTTCTACAGATAAGCCTATTCAGAGGTTTGCTAAATTTGGGCATCATTTTTCTACTGATATTTTCTAAGAGCACTGAACCTTCAGACCTGCGTAGTTCTGGATGAAACTGTCTGGAATGACTTGCTACCTCTATATGAAGTACAATATAAAGTAATTTCTGTGTTAGTGTAGAAACAAGTTACTACCCTCTGCTGCTTTCTATACAGATATAATGCTGAGATACATGTGAGAGGCATTGTTGACCGTGATGACGGTATCCACTGTCACTTGGAATATCTTAGAATCACAGAGTGGTTTCGGTTGGAAGGGACCTCAAAGATCATCTAGTTCCAACCCCCCTGCCATGGGCAGGGACACCCTCCACTAGACCACGTTGCCCAAAGCCCCATCCAACCTGGCCTTGAACACTTCCAGGGATGGGGCAGCCACAACCTCTCTGGGCAACCTGTGCCAGTGCCTCACCACCCTCACAGTGAAGAATTTCTAAAGAAGGGCATCAGTAACGTTTTGATTGGGCAGAGTATTTGAGCAACTTGTAGTTAGGCATAGTATTTAAGCAGGCACGAATGCTGTTGGTTGCAGTGGACCTTATAAAACACTTGTTTTGCTGCTTTCAGCTCTTTTTTTTCCTGCTTGCTTCTCTAAATTAGTCAAGTGATATAAATGAGACAGCAGCAGACATCTTTTGTAGCTTAAATATCAAACGCCAAACAGTTATTATATATATGTGCAGAAGTTACTTTTGGGAAAAAATGCTTCAGGTTCTTCTGTCAGCAGCTAGAAAACTTAAAAAAATATACTCTCAGCTACTGAACTTGTATTTTATGAATTTAGCCTTTTTACTTTAATACAATAAGATACGAGGTTTTAAGTGTTGATGTTAATCTAGAACTGAAAAAAGTGAAACACTTAAAAGCACTAGCAGCAGTAGGTTGGAATCCTGAATGGCTGCTAACACCAGGGAAGGGAAAAAATACTTATTTCAGCAAAACTCATTTTGCTTAGGAAAGAAGTTGTCTGGGCTCATGTTTCAGAGTAGATGTAATGATTTTTTTTAATTTGGGTCAGGGAACGTATAGTGTGGGGGCTTTTTGGTTTGGTGGGTTTTGGTTTGGTTGGTTGGTTTTTAAACCACTGAACTGTGCTGTACCTTTGCCCAGGTCCTTCTTTTACGTGTAAAAGTACAACAGCACTAATTATGTCTGTAGTTTATGCAGGTTTTTTTAGTGCTGCTGAAATATCTGAGTAGTGGTTATATTTTCTTCACTCTATGGCTAAAATAGGCTGGTTCAGTTATTGGGAAGAGAACAGAAGTCATCATTGCACTTTGTTCATCAGAAATACCAGTGAGAGTGCTTATGCTGTGCATTGTATGCATATGGTAAATAGCAGTCTCTTACCAAAGCTGGGTAATGCACATGTGATCACCAGCTTCTGAAATTTTTTTTTCATAAACTAAGTTGCTTTTATCCAAAGTGTTGAAAGACTTCCCTTTGAAATGGGGAGTAGCTTTCCATACTTCACTGTTTGATAGCACCTCAGTCCAGTGGTAATTTGGGGAGCTGTGTCGTCCTGTCCTGCTCTCCCTTCCTGCACTTCTGCAGCTGAGTTGAACGGGTGCAGGGCTGTGGCCCAGCCAGAACTTGGGATACATTTTAATGGTTAGGTTTTCAACAGCATTGGCTTGCACAAATGGCACTGCTGGTACAGGGCATGTTCTTGTTAAAACTAGTTTTAAAACTAGTTTTAAAATACTAATTCACTTTCTAAAAAACCAAAACACCCCAAGCTGTGCTTCCCCTCCCACCTTTCCAGGATTTTGAGGATATAAGTAAAATGGTGATGCCAATCATGTGTCAATCATTCTGGTATATCAGCGATTGTTTTTTAATGGCATTCTTTGCCAATAAATGATGTTATGATGATTATAATTGGTTATTGTTATTTGTGAATACCAAGTCACCTCACCTCTGTGTGCAGATACTAATGAATGGCTTGCCTCCCTTGATAGTTTTAAGCGTTCGCTAGTTTGAATTAAATCAGTACAACAAAGATGTTTCAGTATAGCGCTGGCTCTTGTGGCATGCCCATGCTTTTGTACCGCTAAATCCAGTTGCTTGAACACACTCAGGAACCAATTATGGACAGATGTGGACACTTTTAGTCTTTGCTAAAATAGATGTAAAAAGTCTGTTCATGTAAGCACTTCATGATCTCCTACGGAAAAGAATGTTGTGCGACCTCTTTGGTCGTTTTTCTGAATCAAGCTAAAATGGCTGTTTTGGTGCACAGGAACAATGGCAAATGCTGGCAGATCCTTGACTGCAAAGTGCAAAACCAGACACTGATGCTGTAGCTCACTTACTTTCAGAGTAAAATCCAGTGAGAGGGAAACTGTGTTTAAGGACCCCTGACTGCATTCATGGCTGTAAATTAAGAATGTTGTCTTGAATGGCACTGGAACACCTCTCTGCTCCTCACTAACGCTTCAACCCTGGCGAAGAGAGCAAGCCTTTTTGGAAAGCTTTGGAAAAACTCCATGCTGTTTCTTTCATGTCCCTTTACCTGGTGTCTCCAGCAGGTGCCAGTGTGGTCTCTGTGTTAGCCTGTAGGTAATTATCCCGAGACAGGCAGCCTCCTGGTTGTTCTCCCAGAACTTCCCATAACAACTGCGTTTAAGAAACAGAAAACAATGCATTCCGAGTTTCTAATTTTGAATTTGTCAAGCTAACAGGCTTAAATTCTCTTCAAGCTTTGTGTTCAGCAGTCTTTTCATCCCACAATAATTGCATACCAAATACAATTTTGAAGGGACTGTAGCAGTATAAAACATTTTGAACACCTTAGCGTGAATGTAAAATACCGTTGCTTTCAGCTGCAAGTTCTGCAGAGAAAAGAAATGAGTTCTGTTAAAGCAGCCTGCACAGGGGTCTGGGGGACTTGGAGCAGAGCCGAGTTGCCTTGGTCTTGTACAATTCAGAAGATACAGCTTATACTATGTTTATACAGTCTGCTGATCTTTGCAGAATGAATAATAGTTACACTTTATAATAGTAAAGTTTCCATGTCTGTTCCAGTTCAGCTAAGCTTTAGTTTTGGCAGGTAATTGTCTTAGTTCTTTGTGCCTGTTATTAAATTGAAAAACAGCAGAAGCATAAAGCCTAAACAAGGCCCATAGGTTAAGTCTAAACAAATATGCTGCCTCTTCTTGCCAAGAAATTGGAAGCAGTGAATTTAGGAAAAATTAGCTTTGGATCGGAATACCCAAGCTAAAGAATGTATGGTTTTGTTTTTGCTTTAGGGTGTATACCCCTGGGTCTCTTAAGAAAACTTGGCTTACAGCAAGTCAGATACTAAGCGATGGATGAGTTATCTGGAAAATGTGGTCAGAATAAATAATGTACCACTCTGCTTACAGTACTTTGATGCAGAAATGGTCTTAAAACCCTAATATAAACAGACAATCTGAAGACATGTTTAACTTTTGAAGTACTTTAATGTACAGTGCAAGTTTTGGAGCAGTTATCAAGACATTTAAAGATTCCTGCTCTGTTACCCGCCAGAGTAGCACTAATTAAGGTGCATGGCTTCTACCATCCTCTGAAAATGTGAAACAGTAAGCCCCATGTACCAAATTAGAACTATTTATTCTGTTGGAGTCAAACATCATTTAGTCTTCAGAACAGCGTGGTTTGGAAACTAACATCTGTAGATTGATTTGAGTTGGTAATTAGGTAGAACATACTCAAACTTCATGATATTCAGATTTTTTGAAGTTTGTACATATTGTGAGAGGGTTTGGTTTTGTGATTTTAAACTGTTAGGATGTTGTTCATTGTGTGTTTACAATATAGCTAGGATACTGGGCTTCAACTAAATAAGTTTTTAATCCATAGGTCAGATGTATCAACAGTACCAACAGCCGGGTTATCCTGCCCAGCAGCCACAGGCTCAGCCTCAGCAGCAGTACGGTATGCAGTACCCAGGTAAGCAGCTCTCAAACGGTGCTGTAGCTGTAGAACCTCTTCTTCAGTGCTCGACCCTGGGAGCTTTGGTTCCCGACCCTGTGGGGCAGGTCAGGGTGCTGACCAGCCCAAGTGCCTGGGGGTCTGAGGGGAACTGGCACCATTCAAAAATTACCAGTAAGATAATACTGTAGCTCTCTGTATTTTTAATATGTAGTTGGAGTTCTGGTATCTCAATCCTGCTTGATGACCAAAAGCAGACTTCGTTATCAATCAGCAGAAGGCATAGCTAGAAAGGCAGGCAAAATGCATCACCTGGAGTACATGCAGTCTTCAGGATTAACTTCTGCAGTCTTGGGATTCTAGCAAGTGAGTGAGTAAAACATCCTGATTTAGCTTCCTTAAAGACTGGGGGTATATAAAGATGGCCCCTATTTCTAATTTATTGGTGTGAACACTGATTATAGTTGCCATTTAGTATATCCTTAGCTATTGTACATACTGTAATTTCAGAGAAACTTTCAAGTGATAGGTTGTTTTGGGTTTTTTTAAGTTGTTGATTTTACTGACACCTCAAGTAAAGGTGCCCGTAGACTTTTAGCAGAGGAACACTTTAGTGCACTAGTGGTTTACATGAAATGCTGGCTTTTGTGTATACCCAGAATAAACTTGACTTCAGAACTTTTAGTTAGTTTCTTTAGAAGCAGCTGGCATCTAGTAATGCATAGTACATGCTAGGAATCATAATCCAGCTAAAGTACAGGGATGAACCTGTAACAGCAGATTCCGTAACAAATTGCAAAGTTGCCTTAATACTTTTAGAAAATGATACAAACACTTATCATTACTTGTTTTAAACAATCTTCCTTAAACTAAACAAAAGACTCCCATACCATTAAATGACTCAGAATAGAGCCTGTATGGCTCTCGTGTGTGTAATATATACAGGGGGAGTGCATCAGTTTTGATGTAGATGAGAACACTTGCAGAGCTTATGAAGAAATTTCATGTTTATCTTGGATAAGAACCCTTGGAACCTTGGAACTGACGGTTTGTGCCTCAGCCCTTGTTCCTGTGCACTGTGTGAGAGCTGCTTGGTTTGGGTCTCTAAATGGTATCTTGTTCTCTGCAGATTTCTCACCCTCACATTTGTAATTAGAAGACAGTGACAGACTTTCTGAAGTCTAATTTCAGAAGAAGTAATGAGCCTGTTGGAAGTAGAAGGGTCTAGCTGACTTTAGGCTTAAAAACTTGGGGGGGGGGGGGGGAAGGAGTTTCCATCTGCTTTCTAGTCATACCCTACCATCATCTAATTTACTATTTTACTAAAGAAGTTCCTGTGAAAGCTGTAGCGCAGTGCGAGGTCTGCATTCTAATCAACAACATCTTACAGTAAGAACGAAATGCCACCAAAACGGATCTGGGGCTCCTCTGTGTCTCATAACTTATTTCAAAATTAACCTAATCTTTCAGAAACAGGTCTTTTTTATCTGAGGAGCAATTGACAGCAGCCTTTGAAGATCTTGACTCACGGGATTTTTGTTTGTTTGTTTGTTTTGCTGCTGTTCCCATGAGTGTTGTCTCCTTTTAAACCCATGTCCCACAAGAGCACGATCCGTGCCCGCTCTAGTAGACCTCCTAGGCAACAATGTGATTACATACTCATGGTAGTAAAAAATGGACCCTTCAGAGATTTCTCATGAGTAAATTTTGACTCCAGGTTCAGGTGAGTTTCGGAATTTACTCCAGTGCATTCTTCAATCCTTACTCTTTCCGTTTAGGGCTGTGCACTTTTAATAATTTGTGTGTCTGGTGTTTAATGCTGACAGGATTCCAGTCACTGGAGAGGTTTCATTGCAAGTAGCTCAGGTGTGTTTCATGATGGATAAAAGTAGCTATTTCTTCATAAAAGGCCTTTGTGTCATTTTAAAAATCTTCAATAAAAGACATTCCTTTTGGAAGCTGGTTTTATACAGAAAAAAAAAAAACAAAATCAAGTTTGGGCCGTTTACATGGAAGCTTTGTACTATTGTGTTCTACACAACTCTTTCATAGTTAACCCTAAAGAACTGTAAACAAACAGCTATGTTTTAACTAAAGGTTAAATGACTTATGTTAAACCCTAATGCTATTTTCATGACAGTTTAGTGTTGAGTTTTTATTTGGGAAAAAAAGGTTGTGTTTTGCCTCATTTGCCAGTGAAGACTTTTTTTCTTTTTTTTGTGTGTGTGACATGATGGTAAAATACTATTTATTTATTTTTTTTTAAATTTGTCAGTTGTGGGAAAACTATTTTACACACTATTTTCACTGTTGCTGTGCTGCCATGGTAGCACACCAGAAACCAGGCAGTGTGCTTTTTTGTGAAAGGCGGGAAGACTGCAGTTCAGTCTTGGTTTGCCTTTTCTGTGCTTATCGCACGGGTTTGTGTTTGTCACCATAAACAAGCGAAGGGTCTTTCTGGTTCTTTGTTCTCTCTCACCCCACCTTGCTCTTTGCCTTTCCAGCAGGCTACAGCCAGCAGCAAACCCCCTCGCAGCAAGCCCAGCAGCAGTTCCCGGCCTACAGCCAGCCGGCGGCCCCGGCCCC